TTCACCAGAGACAGAGTGGGGAGCAGAACAGGCAGATCGACCAAGTACACTGCTGAGGGGAGCAGCGGGCGGGTCAGGAGAGGTCTGCTGCGCCATGTGGTCACCTCCGGGACAGGCGGGGATCGAACTCATGTGGAAGTGGCTTAAGCTTCTTAGTGCTGTGCTTTAACCCGCTGCGCCACCAGGGAGGGCCCGACATTTGTCTCTTTTTTAGTGATAACTTCTCTTTCAATTTTGACCCTTTTTATCACCTTATTTTTTTCCATCTGGAACTAGAGCTAACCTACCTCACAGGGTGATGGTGAGGGATAAATGACTTCATACATGTAGTAATGCTCAATAAAAATTAGCTCTTCTCACTATAACCCTTTCTCCCTTTTGCTTACGCACATATTGAAAGTCCTTCGATGTACCAAGGAGCGGAGAAAGAAACGGAGCCCCCCAGTCTGACTCCTAGTGGGCCTCTCTGGCCTCTGATTCAGCCCTGCTGCCTCGGGCCATCAGCTGGCCCCCCTCCGCGTGCCCCACACCCCCACCTCAGGCTGCTGTTTCTAGAACATTCCCATCCCATTTCTTCATGGTGAAATGAAAGAGCAGTAAAACATGACGGCACAGAGGGAAGGGAGTGGCTGCAGGTAAAATTAATCCTTTAAGCCGCACAGAATTCTTGAGATGTCCCATCTCTCCTCCCCAAAAACAATGACAACAACAGTCAAAAAAAAAAAACCACAAGGCTTGGCAGAGAGGGCGACTCGGCCGCCTAGGCAGTGGTGGCACGTTGCTGGGCCTCATCCCTCTGGAGCCTCCAGGCGTACAAGCGGCTTGGCTGCCTGTTGGCTCAACCATCTTCTGGGCGGATCAGCCTCCTCTGATGGGTGTGGGTTGCCCACGTCAGGGCGCCAGGGCGTCCCACCGGCTGCCCGCTGGCTCTGATCGTGGTCAGCAGTTGCTTCCAGCACTTTCTGCAGGTCTCCACGGGCCTGTCTCCCAGAGGCCAGCCCGGGCAGCCTGGTGCCACCTGCCCATGGCAGTGTAGTTATGAGCAGGGGTCCAGAGCCAGGCCCCATCAGTTATTGACTGAGTGACAGTGGGCACATTACTCTACTGCTTTGCGCCCCGGCTTTTTGCTCTGTAAAACGGGGTGATAGTAGTTTAAGAGCTGCCAGAGGATCAGAGCCCTCCCGGGCATGTGTGGAGCGCTCGGACCAGAGCCAGTATTGCCCAGGCCCTGCAGGCACCATTCCAGGTGGTGTCTGATGCATACAGGACAGGATCAGGCCGGGTGCAGCGCCTCATAGGCCCCCCTGGATCACTCTAGGGGGACCACAAGTGTGTGGGGGGGGTGCTTCAGGCTCTAGCCTGATACCTACCAAACAGTTATGTTCAACATCTTCTTTACCTTGACTCTGTCACTAAACTGCACATGGTTAGAGACCCCTCTTACAGAGGGGGAAACTGAGGCTCAGGGGTGAAAGGCCTGGCTAAGCATATTCAATTTCAGCAAGCCCGTGCATCCCACTCTGGCGGCAGATACTTCATCACCAGCTCAAAGGTGGAACATTCAAACCAATGAGGAGTGAGCTGCCGAGGTGTCTGCCAGCTTATTTATTCTATGGCATCACTGAAAAACCGTCAAATGAGTGGAAATAGAGAAGTTAGAGACAGGCCGCCATCAAATGTTCACAGAGCCAAGACAAGCAACCCTGCCTCTGGGCTGGTTTTGCACAGGCTGGTTCCTCCGTGGGGAACATTGTTCTCTCTTCTTGCTGGCTCG